TTATCTTTTACTGCATTCTTAATCATCCCCTAGTATGATTTACACCATCATGGTTTATTTATGCTTTCATCTATCAATGTACACTTGTTTTAAATTTTAAGTCACAAATAATGCAGCACTGGATATCCTTGTACCTGTCTCTTTGTGTGCATGTGTAAGCATTACTCTTATATGTGGAATTACTGGATCCCAGAGTATTTAAAAATTTTACTTGATTCAGCCAAGTTGCTTTTGAAAGTGACTGTGCCAATTTCCACTCCCATCTGTCTGGGGAGTACCTATTTCTCTATGGTGTCCCACAACATTTGATATTGAAAAATTAAGAAAAATTCGGCATTCTTATTGGTAGTAAATGGTTTCTGATTGTCAATATGCAATTCCCTGATTACTAATAATGTTGAACAATTTTTCATGTTTGTTATTGGCCATTTGTGTTTCTTGTTTAGTGAATCACCTATTTGTGTCTTATGTTCATTTTCTTCTTTTGTTTAGTCCTTTATACATTGATTTGTAGGTTTTCTATATATTCTGGATACTAAACCTTGGTCTGTGATATAGGTAGCAGAATTTCCTCCGAGAGTCTCCTTCAGACAAAGGATTCCATCATCCTGCCCTGAGCAAGGATCTTTCATTTCCTAAAGAAGCTGCATAATTTCAGCCTGTCCTACAGAAATAAATACCAAGTGGTGGTAGTGAGGGCACTGTCTTGGAACACACAACTCCACAGTTGTTTACTAGATAAATATATAAAACGTGAGAACATATGGCATATGTGTTATGTGTAGTTGTTGAGACTTTGGAGTCAGGCTTATTTGAGTTCAAACGTGGCCTCTGCGCCTTCCTAATAAATGTATGAACTTGGGCAAATAGCTTAAATCCTCTGGGCTTTAGATTGCTCATCTGTAAAATGGGCCTAGTAAGAGTAAATTTTATAGGATTGTTGTAAGAATTGTGAGTTAATAGATGCAAAGTACTTTTAGCAGGGCTTGGCACATGGTAAAATCTGTATAATTACCAGCTATTATGTAATAAAACTTTGGCTTTTATAGTGCTTTGTTTTTATTGTATCTGGCTTCTGTCCCAAGGTAATTGAATTTTGGGTGTGTTTCCTCAGTATCTGTTACTGCCTCATAACGAACACTAAGATAACGTGGCTATACAATGGGAAGGCTTAAAAATAAAATTAACAGCATGTGTTATTTAAAAAGACATATGAGTCATAAAAATAAGGTACAAGAATTCCAGTGCACAAAACAACATCTTTACAAAAGGCTTTTGAGGGATGGTGGACATTTCTTTGTCAATTAAAGTGGTACGGTGCAGGCAATTGTATAAACACAATTTATTACTCATTTAGCTTGCCAGCTTTATAATTATGCAACTTTGATTAATTTTTTATTTGCAGAGATACACACTACTGTATTTTGTAATTCATGCATAAAATGAGTTTTGGTTGACTTCTATGTACCATGATTTCAAAGTTCCCTAAATCAGGGCTACATACCATATTACCACTCTGAACTCACATTAAGTTCATGGGCCACTTGCTATCATCTGACCTGTTCATACCAGTTGTCAGTGCTGTGTGGGGCCTGCTGATCTCGCTAGGAGTAATGATTTTTTAAATGTGGGATGAAACATCCTAGACTTAATCAAGGCTGAATTTAGTGTTTGCTTTGGGCCAAGTGATGACTGCAATACATAAGCTAGAGATTATCTCAAGATTCCTGATGAAAGAGAGGAAATAGACCTTCTGTTCCTGGAAGGTAGGCTGCTCCTTGTCCTCCTCCCACTCCAGCGCCTTGCCCTTTGTGCACATGTGCTCCCTCACCCCTTACATGAAATGGAAGAAGTCCAGAATTCAGGCACATAACCTGGAGGTTCTAAGATAAAACAGCATTCCTAGATTTCTGCTTCTTTGTTACTGAAACTGGGAGTGGGACTCTGTATTCCTGACTGTTGAAGAGGGAGGGAGGGATGAGGAGTCAGAGACTGGTCTTAGGGTGTTCTTCTTCTTTTTTAAAAATTTGTTTATTTTAATTGGAGGCTAATTACTTTACAATATTGTAGTGGTTTTTGCCATACATTGACATGAATCAGCCATGGGTGTACATGTGTTCCCCATCCTGAACCCCCCTCCCATCTTCCTCCCCATCCCATCCCTCTGGGTCATCCCAGTGCACCAGCCCTGAGCATCCTGTCTCATGCATCAAACCTGGACTGATGATCTATTTCACATATGACGATATATGTTTTATGCTATGCTCTCAGATCACCCCACCCTTGCCTTCTCCCAGAGTCCAAAAGACTGTTCTATACATCTATGTCTCTTTTGCTGCCTCACATATAGAGTTATTGTTACCATCTTTCTAAATTCCATATATATGCATTAGTATACTATATTGGTGTTTTTCTTTCTGGCTTACTTCACTTTGTATAATAGGCTCCAGTTTCATCTACCTCATTAGAACTGATTCAAATGTGTTCTTTTTAATGGCTGAATAATATTCCATTGTGTATATGTAGCACAGGTTTCTTATCCATTCGTCTGTCGATGGACATCTAGGTTGCTTCCATGTCTTGGCTATTATAAACAGTGCTGTGATGAACGTTGGGGTACACGTCTCTCTTTCAATTCTGGATTCCTTGGTGTATGCCCAGCAGTGGGATTGCTGGGTCACATGGCAGTTCTATTTAAACTTTTTTAAGGAATTCCACACTGTTCTCCATAGTGGCTTTAGTTTGCATTCCCACCAACAGTGTAAGAGGGTTCCCTTTTCTCCACACCCTCTCCAGCATTTATTGTTTGTAGATTTTTGGATAGCAGCCATTCTGACCGCGTGAGATGGTACCTCATTGTGGTTTTGATTTGCATTTCTCTGATAATGAGTGATGTTGAGCATCTTTTCATGTGTTTGTTAGCCATCTGTATGTCTTTTTTTTTTTTCCCCTTGTATGTCTTCTTTGGTGAAATGTCTGTTTAGTTCTTTGGCCCATTTTTTGATTGGGTTGTTCATTTCTCTGGAATTGAGCTGTAGGAGTTGCTTGTATATTTTTTAGATTAATTCTTTGTCCATTGCTTCATTTGCTATTATTTTCTCCCATTCTTAAGGCTGTCTTTTTACCTTGCTTATAGTTTCCTTCATTGTGCAAAAGCTTTTAAGTTTAATTAGGTCCCATTTGTTAATTTTTGCTTTTATTCCCATTGCTCTTGGAGGTGGGTCATAGAGGATCCTGCTGTGATTTATGTCAGAGTGTTTTGCCTATGTTTTCCTCTAGGAGTTTTATAGTTTCTAGCCTTAGGTTTAGATCTTTAATCCATTTTGAATTTATTTTTGTGTATGGTGTTAGAAAGTGTTCTAGTTTCATTCTTTTACAAGTGGTTGACCAGTTTTCCCAGCACTACTTATTAAAGAGATTGTCAAAAAAAATAAAATAAAATAAAGAGGTTGTCTTTTCTCCATTGTATATTCTTGCCTCTTTTGTCAAACATAAGGTGTCCATAGGTGCGTGGATTTATCTCTGAGCTTTCTATTTTGTTCCATTGATCTATATTTCTGTCTTTGTGCCAGTACCATACTGTCTTGATGACTGTAGTTTTGTAGTAAAGCCTGAAGTCAGGCAGGTTGAAAATGGAATTATCAGTTAGAAAATGGATATATGATTTATAGCACATTTATACATTGGAATTACTACTCAACAATAAAAAGAACAAAGTATAGATGCCTATAACAACATTGATGAATCTCAAGAAACATGAGGTTGACCAATAGACAGTTATGAAACTAAACATGATCCACTTATATGAAGTTCTCAAAGAGGTAAAACCCCTCAATGGTAATAGAACTCAGAATAGTGATCACGTCTGGAGTGGGGTGGGAGGACTGGGATCATCCAGGAAGGGGCACAAAGGAGCTCTCTGGGGTGAGTGTTCTACACGTTTGGGTACTTTGGTGAATGTGATTGTCACAACTCATCCAACTCAATGTTTATGATCTGTGGATTTTCTTGTATATAAATTACGCCTCAATTACGTACTTATTGAATACATTTTTAAAGGTTATGGTTAATTTTTTTTTGTTCTTTCACAGTTCAGATTACTTGTATTCATCAATGTTGTCATCTTTTGCAATGATGTTAACATCTTAATCATTTACCAGGGGTTTATAACCTGCGGTCTAATGATAGCTTTCAATGGATCGTTGAACCCTGTGAAACTGAATGCACAATTTTGCATTTCTGTGTGCATGTATTTTTCTTTTCCCTTAAAAGTTCATAGCTATCACCATGTACTCAAAAGGGTCCATGACCTCAAAATGTATTTAAAACAGAACCTCTGTGTTAATGGTTCATGCAGGATGTGTAGGGAATGGTATCAGTAAGTTAAAGATGAATGAATGAATAAATGATCAACTGTTTCCAGTACATGTTTGAGGAACCAAGCCTCTGCTAGTTTACAGATTAAAACTGGTAGGTGTCAGTGACTCCATGAAACTGCAAACATTAGAGAAACCTTCAGGCCTGAGAAATAGAGTAAAGTCCTGATAAGAATAGCAGGCAGAATCAGTGTATCATAAAAGAGCATTCAATCACATATATAAAAAAGACACCTGCTATTCAAAAGTATTATATACTGTGTCTATTTTAAATATTGAAATTAGATAGATGAACATAATAGAAGCAACACATGTTTCAACTATAAAAATTATTTAATACTTTTCTCTTGACAGTAAAAACAATTACTGTAGTGAATGTTAACAGAATTGTAGCAGATTCAGCTTCGCCAGTGTTTAACAAAAGAAGACAATTTTGATGTGGCTCAGTTATGGCAATTTTCATACACTGAGTTTTGAGAATTGGTTATTCATCTTCAATCCCTGATTGTAGGGAGACAAAGCAGCATTAAATTGATGGCATAGGGTTGTAAATGCTCTTTGAGATGTGAAGTGGCTCTAAGCACCTCTGAGAACCTTGACTTGCTTTTATGTGATTATTGACAGGTTTCTGTGGTCTCTTTTGTCCCATGTGTCTTGAGTGTGACATCGCCAGGCATTATGGAGAGTGTTTTTGTTGGCCATTGTTACCTGGGTCCACCTTTGCACTGAGAATTGGCACCAGAGAGAGACATAAAATATGGGTAAGTGTGTTTGGATGTGTATGTATATGAGAACCTGGATGGATGCCTTTCAAACCTGTGATTATTTTTATAAATGAGGTGTGTGTGAGGATATTAAAAACACCATACATAGTGGAAGGCTTTGGGAAAGGAAAGGGAAGAAATTTCTGATTTCACTTGTTACTAGGATGTATATTAAACCAAAATGCCACATTTTGGAGGGTATTTCTAAGGGAGACCAGATTGTTGGCCAATGAGCCACTTCTGTTTCTCTCTTATTACATCAAGAGAAGACAGTTGTTGTTGTTTAGTTGCCCAGTTGTGTCCGACTCTTTGTGACCCCATGGACTGCAGCTTGCCAGGCCTCCCTGATCCTCACCATCTCCCAAAGTGTGCCCAAGTTCATGTCCATTGCATTGGTGATGCCATCCAGCCATCGCATCCTCTGTCGTGTCCTCCTCCTGCCCTTAATCTTTCCAATAATGACAGGTAGACATGCACCAAATTTGAAGGATAAACCTGGGATGATCTCACTTAAAACGGAGACTCTCTGGCATACACAGAATTCACTTAGGGGATTCCCTGAGGGTACTTCAAAAACCAGACAATTTCTAGCGTGGTTGAGACTGAGGTACAAGGAGAGACTGAGGACAGACAAGTCATACCTACTCAGATGTGGACAGATAAAAAGGCATCTTTTTATCTATTCTTATGAAATGATCCCTAAGATGTATATTTAGCAAAAGAATATATATATATATATATTTAAAATGTAATGTGTACATATCTGTATATATCTGTATGCCTAGACTTAGAATTTATCTGGAAGTCTATATAAGAACTGCCCACAATGGTTGTCTCCTGACAGGTAACTGGGTGACCAGGGGGATTTACTTTTTACTTCCTCTCCCTTCTTACTATGGGAATTTTGGATCATATATACTTATTACTCCAAATAAGTAAAGAAAATAATTAATTATAAATATTAAGTTCTAAGAGAAAAAAGAGATGTTGACAGAGGATTTTCTGTCAGTTAGACAGTGTTTCTCAAGTGTGAAGCCCTGAGGGCTGGTCTCTGAATTGCAAGGCTTGATTAGCAGTCGAGGTGTTTGGCACCTGTAACCCCGGTGGGTTCGTGTCCGTGGGCAATGACTTCAGGGTGGTGGTGGATCTTGGGAGCAGTGGACGGGATGGGCCGTGAGGTAGTACTGTGGAGGTCTCCGGTAGCGGAGCTGAGCCTGTGTGACGGCCCCAGAACACACGCGGTTTCTCCCCTAGGGCACCCTGTGTGAGGACTGGCTGGCAGTATACTGCTGCTGGCCTTGCTCCATCTGCCAGGTGGCCCGGGAGCTCAAGGTGAGGACCTCCCAACTCTATGAGATCTATACGGCCCCTTCAACCAAAGAAACTTTTATTTGATAGAGCAAGAAAACTCCTCCTTCCTCACTTGCCCACACCCTCCTCTTAAATCCCTCTTGTGGAGAGATTGTTCTTAAGTTTTCACTGAAGTAGTACGAAAATAAACGGCTTCCCACTACTGTGTTTACTGTTGTCCTTTCTTCACACATAGCCCTGATGAAGACACTTACTTGTCTGAAGTTGCTGTCCCAACTCAGCCATGTTAGGCAGGTTAGAGAGGTAAGCTTTGTGCCCTCCACACCCTGTCTGGAGTTTGGAAGGTTGAATTTCACCCCTCATCTTCCCCTTTCACAAGGGATGTCTGGGAAGCTGGAAGAATTGTTAAATGGCTTTCTTATGCTAAGCCTCTTTTCCCAAAGTATCAATGATGGGGCAGAAGATGGTTAATTTAACTTTTGTTTTATCTTATTACTTTTAAATTTTTATTGGAGTATGGTTGATTTACAATGCTGTGTTAGTTTCAGGCGTACAGCGAAGTGAATCACATAAGACCTGGACTGGGCCCTAAACACCACTGTAATACAGGAGCACTGTCCTTCCTTTGTCCTGACTCCTTCAGTCCTGACTGCATAAAGGAGACAGCCTCAGCTTGTTGCTGACTTTGAACAACTCTCCAGTACTTATAAATCTTTAGCCCCAGACTCAAAGCCTTAGGTGGGCAGCTGTTGAATTGTGCCCCTCCCCCAACCCCTTTCTGCCAAAGATATGTTTAAGTCCTAACTCCTGGTATGTGTGAATGTGCCCTCATTTGGAAATAGTCTTGCAAATGTAATTAAGATGAGTTAGTAGGGTGGGCCCTAACCCAATATGGCTATTGTCCTTACAAGAAGAGATGAGACACAGAGGTAGAGACACACAGAGAGAAGACAGCTGTGTGAAGACGGAGGCAGAGACTGGAGTGGTGCTACCACAAACCACAGAGTGCCTGGGGGTACCTGAAGGTAGGAATTGTTGTTCAGTCGCTAAGTTGTGTCCAGCTCTTTGCCACCCCATGGACTGCAGCACACCAGGCTTCCCTGTCCTTCACTATCTCATGGAGTTTGCTCAAATGCATGTCCATTGAGTTGGTGATGCCATCCAACCATCTCACCATCTGTTGCCCCCTTCTCCTGTCCTCAATCTTTTCCAGCATCAGGGTCTTTTCCAATCAGTCAGCTCTTCACATCAGGTGGCCAAAGTATTGGAGCTTCAGCTTTAGCATCAGCTGGGAGAGGCAAGGGAATATCTTCTCCTAGAGGTTTCAGAGGGAGCACTGCCCAGCCAACATCTTGATTTTGGACTTCCAGCCTCCAGAACTGTGAGGGGATAAATTTACGTTGTTCTAAGCCATCCAGTTTGTGGTTCTTTGTTACAGCAGCTGTAGGAAACTAATTCACCCACCATCTACCACGTGAATAGAATACTCTTGTTTTTGTTAGCGTGGCAGCATAGAGCAGTGCTGAGGACCCTGGGTCTGAAGCTGAACTGCCTCCTTCACTTACTAATTGTGTAACTACAGGCAAATTTGTGAATCTGTCAGTACCTCAGTGTCTTCCTCTGTAAAATGACAGTGCTGACTTCACAGGGTTGTGAGGATTTTAACAAGTCAAGACACTTAGCTCAGTGTTCAGAAAGGAGCAAGGACTTGGTAAATATTACCTACTATTACTATTTACTATTACCTTATATTCATAGTACATGATATACTCTTCCATTTACAGTTGGGATATAAAGTTTTCTATCAAGTTTTAGATTAAAATTAAGTTAATTAGAAGAAGAACATTAAGTAAATAATATAAATGGTTGGTGGATAGGGCAAATATTGTGAAGGTGGTAAAACATGAATTGAGTGCTTGTAGGTGCCAGGCACTGTTTCAGAACTCTACATATTTTAAGACATTTAATCCTTAATATTCGTCAGGAAAGTGCTATTATAGTTCCATTTTCCAGATAAGAACTTGAACCACAGAGAGGTTAAGTAACTTGCCCAAGGCCACACAGCTAGCTGGTGACAGGCAGTCAGACTCTTGAGGGTGTGGACTAAGCAAGCAGAGAATGTTTCTGGCCAAGAGGCTGTCTTGGCCCCTTGTGGTTTGACAAACCAGCATTTGTTCTAGGGAGGTGAACTCAGCCTGGTGAGCATGGAAAGGAAGTGTCACTCACTCTGCCCCCCAGTCATCCCCACTGAAAATAGGCAATTCCTGTCTGACAAAGTCACTCCTCTCCTCCCAGCCCTGCTTCTGGATGTCCAGGGAAGCTGCCAGCAGCCAAAGCCCTTTGGGAACAATAAAAGGCTCAGTGTTGACATTTAATACATGATAAAGTACTCCCCTCTCCAAGTCAGCTACTGAAAAAAAAAAACAGGCCTGAGGGATGAGTCTATTAAGTGAAAAATAAACCTCTTTTATTGTTTTGAGCGAAAACACATACTGCGTTTCACAAGTTTATATCTGGGAACAATATGAAATTTTGGCAAAGGAGACTGGGGTGACCGCTCCACTCTCACATGATGAGCCCTCGATGTGTGAAGAGTAGATGGCGTATCATTCACTGGCTACTGACCCAGGGCTTCTCTCGGCTGCGGTCAGAGGTGGTTAGAGGTGTGAGTGAACCTCTCCACACGGGAGCCCCGCCTCCACCCCCACCACTTTCCCTTTGCTTTTTCTGATCAGCCTGAGTGGTAGAGCAAACTTAACACACTTCTTTAGAGCCACAAATCCAGACAAGTGGGCTCTGGGCTCTAAAAGCGTTGAGTCTGCCAGTGAATCATGGCATATCAAACAGAATTAATACATGGATGGTTCTTTGAAAATGGACGGTGGAGAGTTGTCCTGAAGCAAGGTGGCTTAAGGGCCATGACTTCTGGTTGCCCCTAGAACTTGTCAAATCCGTGAAGAAAGAAAGTAACAAAAATTTGTGCTTCCTTCCCAGGAGAAAAGTTATCCAACATACAGTGTTTAAGTGAGAGACAGCAACCTTGATCTTAAGCTGTCTATTTCCTCGGACTTACGAGACACTGTCAGTGGTACAAATCTGAGTTACTCAACAGTGGAGGCTTCTTCTATGTATTTTTCTTCTCACTAGAAAATTCCTTTTGATTTTCTAAGATATAGAATGTGGAAAGGATCTCTGATAACTCCTTGTGGGCAAACAGCACCCACACATAAACAACAGACATTTCAAAGTAATCCATTCAGATCATTATAAATTACAAAACCAGAAAACAAACACATGACATCCCACCACACCTTTTGGGTTTCCGTGGCATATACTAACAAAGAAATAAGCTGCCAGCCCTGGAACTCTCTATGTTTTAGAACAAAGATATGAAAAGTGTCCACAGCCCTATAAAATAATTTCTATATGTTTATATATTTTACATGTCTAAGGTTTATTTATACAATTGTCCATAATGACTAACATGTAATACCCCTTCTATAAACATTATTCACATACATATTACCTCATAAAAATTTTCTTTTGGTCTATTAAAAAATACTGTACTGAAAAAACAAGCAGAGACACAAGAGTCTATAGATTTTCTGCTGATATTTCCATGGAAAGGTGAAATTTTCTCTTCTTCTGTTTTCTCTTTCTTCCTTTTTCACCTAAATAATACCCTCTCCCCTGACCCAATATAAGAAGCAAGAATTCTAGAAGATGAAACTCAGAACTAATGATTAGCAAACTGTTCTCAGGTGCATTTCTGGCCTGACCTCATTCTAATCACTCAAATTCATCTGAATCTGCCTTCCCACACCTCCACCACTTTTGACCCATAGCCATTTGAAATCTATATCCTGAAGCTGACAGTACAGAGATGAAAACTTTAGGGAATGGGGGAGCTTTTCTTAAGATTCTGAATATGGCTGGGAACAAATCAGGTTCTTTAATTTGTGCTTTGGGGAAAAAATATTTGTTTTACTGGCTAACCAGGTTCAAAGGAAAAGCTAAATCTTCATGAAACCCTCCATGAAACTGTAAGCCGTGAAAAGATTCCAGAGATGAAAAAAACAGTATGTGTAAATATTGGGAGTGGTGGTTTCTTGCTGTTCTAAATGTGAGAGGCAGAGGCCAGTCTAAGAAGAAGCAAATCTGAATGAGAGAGCCTTGAGGACACATTTATAATTAGCCAATGTGAACTAATGGTTTCTGGGCATTACAAGTTGTATTGTTTTCTCCAATCCAGTTTATACAACTTGCTTTTGTGTGGACAGCTTTCCTATACCTAATGTTTTGGTATATCATCTATAAAATTAAAATTCCTCCCAACTCTGACATTCTATGATTGCTCTGAAAAGTGAAGTCATTGAAACCTATCTATAGGTGAGCTGTAGGGCTTCATGGTTGTAACAAGTAGATTCCAGAATCTGAAGGCAGCATCTCCATATTCATTGCTTCCAATGCTAAAGAGCAGCCAACCAAACCCGAATTCATACCAGAGAAAATGGAACCAACGTTTAGTCACGGTGTTGAGAGAAAAGAGATGACTGACAGCTGGTGGCACCCTCATAGCCCACGTGTGAGAAGATGTCATTGCTGCATCAGCCTTTCTGTGGTCTCACTGGCCTCTTGCCTCCTCACTCACCTCTTGGCCAATAAAGCCAATGCTGTGGGGCTTCTAACAAAAACCCTCTGGATCAGGAAGTGTCAGGGTGAAAAGGCAGAATGGAATTGGAATGGGAAAGAATGCAGATCCGGTGGAGTGATGCAGCGTGTGTGGTCAAGGGAGGGGGTGAAGGCTGGGGACAGTGTGAAGCAGCCCTGGCCTCTGTGGCTTGAACACCTGAGAGGAGAACGTGATGCCGCCCCCGGCTCTGCTCCAATCCGAGCTGGAGCGACAGGCCAGACACATCTCTGGGAGGCACTCGGTGTCTGGTCTTTTCATTTGTCGGTTAGGTGCCAAGGTGTGAGAAACTGGCAAGAGGAAATTTGGCTTTGGCAGCAGAACAGAAAAACAGGAGGGCCAAGGGTCTGGTGTAACCTGTAAAGTCACATGGCTCATGTTTCCTCCAGCCTGGCCCACCACCCACTGATATTGAGGGAAGGCAGATTTACTTTTTCTCCTGTTCCCCTTCTGTCTTGGAGGCCAGTCTATCGGTATTCCTGTACCGTCCCTGATGTCCAGGGAGTATCACATGGCCCAGAACTCTGCACCGAGGAGTTACCATCCAAGCAGACAGTTTGTCTCTTCAGGATCCCGTTATTACTCCTCCTCCCAGGAAGGTTTCCAAGGCGGGATCTGTGAAGGTGAGAAGGATTTCAGAATCTATTTTGTGTAAATGCAGCCAGGTTCCAACTACAGTTCTTTAACATTTTAAAGTCTTTTGGGCAGGAATATGTCTTTTCATTTCACAAGAGAGAGACAGTGTTGTCCATTCATCATATCAGGAGACACATACTCTCTACTTTCCCATTTCTGTGGATGCTAACTTCGATCTTTGGGTTAAGGTGGTTGTTTACCAGCATTCTCCACTATCAAGTTGCTATTTTCCACTTTTTGATTAATAAGTATCTTTGGAGGAGATACTCTGAGCTCTTCAGGGTTTTACCCACTACTTTTAATATCCATGGGTGACTCTTGCCCAAGTCAGTGGCTAGTGTAGTGGTTACCAAATGGTCATTTAAAAAAAATTTCATCATTCCTTCTATATTTTGTAGCTGGGGCTCTACTGTCAGGAAGAGCTTTTCCTTCTCTCTCATTACTCTATGTATATAGTATAGACTCAAGGATTCCTCTTTGATTACTTGTAAGGGTTATTATCCATTACTGCCAAAAATGAACAGTCTGGATCTATTGAAGAAATGCCAGGCAAACCCTAATTGAGAAACATTCTGTAAAATAAATGGCATATATTCTTTGAAATGCCAGAATCATAGCAGACAATGACTCAAGGAACTGTTCCAGATGAAAAGAAACTAAAGAGACAAATGTGTGGTCCTGGATGGGATCCTAGACAGGACATTAAAACCTTTCTTCTCTGTAGAGGAATAGGACAATTGGATAAGAGCTGTAGATTAGTTAATAGTGCCATATCAATGTCAATATCTTGATTTTGGAATTATATTGTTGTTAGGTAACATCTCTGTTTTTAGAAAATATACACTGAAATATTTTAGGGGAAAGTGAACATTTTTAGCTTGTTCTCAAATGGTTCAGAAAGATTTTATATATATAATTTATATTAAATTTTAATTTGACATTTAATTTGTATATATGTATATACATATTTAAAAGAGAGAGGGTCAAAACACACATGGGAAAATGTTAATATCTAGGGAACCTAGTAATGAAGGGTATACAGGAATCCCTTGTACATTTTTAGTAACATTTCTAGATATCTGAAATTATTTGAAATAATTTAAAATTCACAAGGCCTCAGAATGTCTTCAAAGCCTGAAATACTGTATTTTGATTTCCAAACTCAGCTTGCATCCCTATCACCCCCACACATGTAGCCAGTGTCCTCCCCTCCCTGTGTGTCCCTTGGGGCTTCTTCTTCCTGAGCACATTCGGGGGAAGTGCAGCCAACACTTCAGCTTTCCCTTGTCCAGGTGAGGGCAGGCAGTTTGGATGGGCATCACAGGAGCTGGCTGCTCTCTACGACTTTGCTGCCAGTGCTTGGCTCTTGGCCCTTCTGAACGCAAATGAAGTCCCAGCTGACTATGCTGAAGGGGGACAGGAGAAAGCTAAGGGGGACAGGAGAAAGCTAAGAGGGTAATGGGAAAGTGGTCCCAGAACATTGAGAAAGACTTGTTTTCTAAAAGACCCAGGCTCGGGGTTTGTCCATAAGTGAGTTCCACGAAAACCCAGTTAAACAGGAAATAAGTAGAAGAGGGAATTTTCCATTTCCTGTCCAAGGTCTTTCCTTTGGAGTCTGATTTCTTTTCTATCCAAGGACTCCTGCTGATTTAACAGGCCAGTTTTCTCCTTGGGGAAACTTTAGTGATGATCACAGCCTCACTCTTTTCAGGGTGACATGGGACAGTTGGATCTTGCAAGCAAAGTTTATGGGAAACAGCAATCTGGGGAGTCTGACTCGAACTCCCAACTCTCGAAAGGCTGAACTATGATTTGTTGTTACACAGAGTGTACTGAAGGAGGCTGAGCTTTCAAGCAGGCAGCCACATCTAGGCTAACCACTGAGCTTCTATACCCTCTCAGGGCCTCCCAGTGAATTGCAGGACTTACTCCTTTGTTGATGTGCTTCACTCACCATAACAGCAGGTAAGAGCCGTGGGGGGCTTACTGGGGCTGCTTCCTATTCAGTGGGAGAAGCAGGCATAAATACAGAGTCTTCCTCCCATCAGGATAATAAGTTACACAGGATCTGGAGTTATGCTGTCTCCATTGTCCATCCCCAAACGTGGGCAGGAGTTTCAGCCTGCTGTTCACAACTTTTATTTATTATTTAAAGATTTTTTATTATTATCTCTTTTGGTCAAGCCATACAGCAAATGGGATCTTAGTTCTCTGACCAGGGGTCGAACTCATGCCCCCTTCATTTGAAGCACAGAGTTTTAACCACTGGATCACCAAGTAAGTTCACAACTTTTAGTCCTTAAAAGGGACAGTGCCTGGGTTAGTCATATCCTGCTTCTTTTACCTTTGCCTAAGTGGGTACTGGCGCTGATGCTGGGCACCTGCCTTTGGAGATGGGTCAACCCATAGCTATCCCAGTGGGCCCAGAAATGACTGCTTTGGTCTGCACATCAGGCCTGACATCAGCAGCTGGGAGCATATCCCTCTGAGACTGGAGGCAAGGTGATTTGAGTCAACTGCTTCTCGATCTCAAGGGAGTAGTAGCGGTTTGTTAGCTCTCTAAGTACCTTTACTGTGATGTAGCATTTCTGAGAGTCAGCAGAGGGACAGGGTAGTGATAGGAAATAACTGCTAATGGAGGGCTGACTGCCACATGGATCTGACCTTCCAGGTTGTGCTAAGTGATGCAGAAAGAACTTCAACTCTAGGATCCACTGACATCTTAATAGACACCTCAAAATCCTATCAGTGGCAGGAGGTGTGAATTTACCTGTGGCTGGCGTTGTGCTCTATTGGGTAGCAGCTCATATCAGTCCTGTGTCTACAGGCCAGGGTTTTAGGATTAGGCAGGTGATGATTCTTTGTTTATTAAGTGATCAGGGGACAGGTCTACTTGAAGTAGAAAACCCTGATGTCTGCAGGAAAACTTTGGTGTCTCATCTTAAACGAGGTGGCAAGTAGCTTCCAGTGAACACTAGAATCCAATTGCCTGGATTTATTCCCAAGCTCCAGCATGTTCCAGCCGTGTGACCCCATGGAAACTATTTAATCTCTCTAGGTCTTAGTTTACTTATCTGTAAAATGGGCACAGTGATAGTGTTTACTTTGTCTGGTTATGGTGAGATTTTAAAATCAGTCAATACATCTTTTTCTTCTCTCATTGCCATGGCTAAGACTTTCAGAACTATGTTGAATAATAGTGGCAAGAGTGGGCACCCTTGTCTTGTTCTAGAAAAATGGTGCTGATGAACCTATTTTCAGGGTAGAAACAGAAATGCAGATGTAGAGAATGGACTTGTGGACACAGTGGGGAAAGAAGGTGGGATGAAATGAGGGAGTAGGATTGACATGTACACTACTGTGAGTAAAATAGACAGCTGATGGGGAGCTGCTTTTATAGTGGGGAGCTCAGCTCTGTGCTCTGTGATGACCTAGAGGGGTGGGATGGGGGGTGGAGGCTCAGGGCGGGGGGACATATGTGTACACGCAGCTGATTCACACCGTTTTACAGCAGCAACCAACACAACATTGTGGAGTAATTATCTTCCAATTAAAAATAAACAAAAGATGAAAATTTAAAAAAATCAGCCAATATAAGTAAAGCACATAAAAGAGTGTCTGGCACAAGGCAGGGTGTCTGTCTCTCATTATTGGTTCAAAAGTATTACTATAAATTAAGAGACCTCTTCAAGGTTATGTGTTAAAATCCTGCTTCTTGATTATCTCAAAGAACGGAAAACCATACAGGTGGATACAGATCATTAAATTGGCTCATGATCACACTCATTACTGGAGTTTCTTTTGCCTTAAAAACCTAAATAGAGTTATTAAATCTTATATCCTAATCAACAAAATGAGGATAACAATAGCTCAGTATTTATTATACTTTATATAATTGTCATGAGGTGGCCTCTATTATTCTTCTCACTATATAGATGAGAAAATTGAGACTCAGAGAGGTGAGATGACTTACCCAAAGTGACATAATGAGTCACATTTGAGGTACAACGGGTGTTCTGATTCTATAGCCTGGGCTGTTCACTGCCATGCCAGAGAGAGGAGAGCGAAAGAGAGTGAAGGAGCTGGGGATGGGAAGGGGGAAGAAGGGAGGGAGGAAAGGGGAGAGGGAGGCTGGCAACTGATAAGTATTCTCGGAATGAGTAAGTGGGCATGGGAATTCAATAAACGTATCCTAACGATAACAAAGCAGATGACATTTCATGCCTTGTCTACATAATTCCAAACAACCATTTGACCGCTTAGAAAAATGAGATTGCTTTTTGCATGCTGCAGAATCATGGCTTTAAAGAGCTGCGAGGGCCAGTCCCTTTGGAAGGTGAGTTTTTGTGATCCTGCAATCCTGGAATGCTAATGCCTGATCCAAGCCCCTTGTTTGAGGGATGAAATGGGGCTGGAGAAAAGGGAAGCAAATTGCCTCTAAGTTTGTGGCATCTCCTTTAAGTTTATCCTTCCTGTGAAGATCCTCCTTGGCAGGAAAAGGGAGGATTCATTTATTCTCCAATTGTTCATTCAACACATAATTGATTGATGACCAAAAATGTTTGATAAATGAATGAATTTCCTTGACACTTTGAACTTGTTCCTGTTCCTCTCGTTACTGTGCATGTCTGAGTTCTTCTCAGTCTTCGAATCTCAGTTCAAATCTGGCCTCCTTGGAGAAACCTTTCTTGTCCACTCTACCTAATGTCACTCATACCTCCCAGTCATTGTCCCACCAGTTTGTTTCCTTCATAGCATCTGTCATATAGAAATAATCCTGTGTGTTTAATCATTTTCCATTTATTGCCTTTCATGAAGGCAGGAATATTACTTGCTTTGCTTTGTTCACTGTTGTGAACTGTATGGAACTGTATGGAACAAAACCTTACACACAGTAGATGCTCAATCAATATTTGTTGAATGAAGATGAATGAATAAGTGAATGAGGTGACATTGATTTCTACCCAGGAAGAAAACAT